AGCTACCATTTAATGCCAGTAAAAATATCATTATTTCTAACTAGTGCTTTTCTTATTTTGTGCAATGTATGAAACGTATATTAACATGATTTCATGTCATGTATTCATATGTGGTTAAAAAAAAAAGGGAAAAAAGGAAAATCTGCCTTTTTAGTTGCACTGAAAAGCAGTAAGAAGTCAGGAATAATATGCTGAACTACATTTTTATAGCTGTACCGCTATGTAAAAAAAAAGGACTATAAGGACATAGGCCAGTTCCTCCTGGATCAGACAGTTGTCCATCTATCCTACCATTCTGCCTCTGACAGTGGCAGTAGGTGATGCTGTTCAGGGAGATCCCATGAACCTGACCATTTTCCATCTTCTATTTTCCTAATACTGCCTCAGCATCCAAAATTGTATTAGAGAAGGGTGCACCCCTGATTCATTCTTTCAGTATCTATTTATGAATTTATTTCCTGTTAATTTGCCTAATCCCTTTCTGAACCTTCTGAGATCATAGTATCTGGCAGGAGAGAGTCTCCAAAGCTCTTCATAAACTCTTAAATTACCCTCTTTTAAAGTACTCTCTCTTCCACCTGCTTTAAACTGCTCTCCTGTTAATTCTTGTATTTCAGGATTTGGTGACCAACAGTTCTTCAGTTACTTTTTCTACCACCTTTGTGATTCTGTAAACCTTGATCATCTCATCCCCTGGCCTCCTTCTCTCCAAACCGAGAAGCCCAGACCATTTTAATCTCTTCATAAGGCCTTTGATCATTGTAGTTGCCCTTCTTTGGACTGTCTCTAAAAACAGAGAAGTGTGTGAGTGGCCACGTGTGAAGTGTTCATGCAGTAGTTCTCACAGAGACCATTTGTTCAGATCCTGTCCTGTTGCTTAATTCCGTAGTCTATGAAAGAGGGGAAATATTTCCTATTTCAGAAAATTATTTAAAATTGTTGGCATGCCTTTTTGTAATATTTACCTGTAGTCCTTTAAGACTTCACCTGGATACTTCTGTTTATCTAGCAAAAGCTTTTCACACAGTAGTTTTGAGTGATTTTTGAATTCACATGTAACCATTCTGACCCTGACCTGGAAAAGTGTGTCCTGCCATCTTACTTGATTTGTCTTCTCACACTATGTAATATTTCAAATTCATATTCAAAAGTGGTTCTGGTGACATCATCATTCCTACAGTCCCACATTGTTTTGAATATTATTTTCTTTTCAGATGGAAGTCTTAAGTTTTCTGCTTTTTCATTTTCTCCTCCACTGTGTTGCATATACTGTATTAACTGATTAAACAGATGCATTCGACTGTAAATGGATATGGGATGTCTACTTTTGCTGTCAAAATATATACATGAAACTTTGAAAGTTTCCTTATGTAGTTAGGCTGGTAAACCTAACAATCTCTTTAGTGATTCCTGTAATACTTTGAGCCACTAGCAAACATATGAGGGTTTTTTTCTGTTTTTACAAGCAAATCTGCAAAATGATTTTGATATTCAAAAAATGTGGCTTTTAATAAATCTTCATTGCAGTAAGAAGTTGAGATGACAACTTGCTGAAAATGAAAATGAAAAAAAAATTGCTGAAAAAGATGCACAGTGATATATTATCATAAAGTTAATAGAGTTAAGTGGAACTGTAAAGAAAAGATATAAAAGTAAAGGGAAGTATTTTCTGTTCTGTATTCTTCCTATTGGGATAAGGCATTGGCATCTTCTGTTGAGAGAAACACTATTTTTTCAGAAGACAGCTGTATCAATCAGAACTGCATCTCTTGACAAAGACAACAGTAACAAATTGAATTTGTTTACAGTACGTGATTATCCCCTCTTACAAGGGGGTTAAGTATAGTTGGAAGAGGGATTGGAACAGAAGGTTAGATAGAAAAAACAGCGTGGACACTATATCTGAAAGCAAGTCTCCAAGTCTTTGCGTTGAATATAAAGAAAACTTTAGCCTACTAAAAGTGATAGTAACATTATAAGCCATCTATTTAAACTTCAGTTATGTATAACAGTATTGAAACTATAATTCCATCTTGTGAAAATGGGAATTGCAGGAGAATAAATGATGTTCAGCTGAACATCAGTCAGTCTTATGCCAGGAGCTTTAAGAAGAAGGGGTAATGGCTGTGAAGTCGCCATATGTACTGATAGTGAATGTTCAGAAGTTCAGAAGACTGCTGTCAGGCAAATTTAAATGGGTCAATCCCTGAGACATTTGATCTGTCAAAAAAAAAAAAAAACAAAGTACTGGTAGTAGTCTCATGCAGTCCTGAATTTCTAAAAATGTCAAGTTTTTGACCCTTAAGGATAGTAAGTATGATTTTGTGTTGCCCAGTCTGTAGTGCGTACTGTGAAATTTTTTGAATCCTTTGTTCTTTGATGTTGCTTTCAGAAGGATTCAGGGTGCGTTGCACAGTCACACATATGAAGTGATGAGACTATCTATTGAACTACTAACAAATTTCTCAAGCTTTAAATCTTTTCTTGGCAAACATTGTTTCTTTTAAAGGTCTTACATGGTTCCCTACCTTCTTAACATTAAATACCATTTCAAACAATCCCAATCAAACATTCTTTGCACTGTATCATTGCATAATATGAAACATACAGTCAGCTATTTTATACTTCTTCATTATAAGTTCAGTCAGTACAGACTTTCCGTATGTCTAGATATCTGCATGCTCAATAGCAAGAAAAACAGATGATTTCTTTGTTTGAATAAAGGAAAAGCAATAGCTCTGCTATCAGAGGCAGGCTGAGTGATGGCTTTATTTGGATTGCAGTCTATTAGTTCATCTCCATGAATGACCAATTATGATTCGTCTTTCCAAATACCAGTTATTTCATAAATCCTGCCGAGAGCACAGCAGTGGAACTGAAGAGCTGTCATGGAGCTCTGCCAATAAAGTCACTGATGCAGTTACAATATATCTGCACATAATTTAATCCCCTTGTTGCATGTGTTGAAGGCATGCATTCCAGTACTCTACATTTAAAATCCTTTAATTAAGGATGCTACTCCTTGTCTCTTGCATATATTTAGAGTTCTAATGAGATGCTGTTTTTAAACTATCCAAGGGATTTAACTGGACCCTTCATAGCATATAGTAAAAGTAAGTTTTTCTCTTCATAGACCTTTAGTTTTTATGACATAAGATGTTTATTTTATTCAGTCATTATAATAACAGGTGCTGAAGTTCTGGGATCTTCTGGTTCTCCAAGTTAGCTTTTAATAATTTTCTTTCCACACTTGCTTTTGCAAACTCTGTCTGTTAGAGAGTGATTCTTCAGTTCATCTTTACAATCAGACCCCGGGGCACCCTCCACTGAGTATCTGTTTCCTTTTTTTCACTGGCTAAAGGGGCAGTATTGGTAATAGCACAGTTAATTGACGAGTGAAATCTTTTTCTGCTTATGGTCTGGAGGAAAGGTAATTTAGTAACTTTGAAAATACACTTTTGGGTAAGTGACAGCATGCATGGCAAAGACTGTTATGGTAATGTTGGACTTTTATGGATAATGTTAAAGAGTGAAATGATGATCTTTTGAAATGCTTTCAGCATTTCTGGAAATTAGTTCAATAATTTCACTTTGGGAAAAATATGCAAAGCATACTGGTTAGTTTTCCATGATGATTTTTTATCATTTTCTCTCCATTCACATTCCAAATAATCTTTGAACTGTTACAAGGCAATAGTAGTGATACTAGTCAGACTGCGTTTTGCTTCCTTAAGAGGGGCTAGCATTTTGCCCTCTTAAAACAGCTATGCAAAAGTGAAAATAAATAACACCTGTGGTTTCATAGGAGGCATTGCCCATCATATCATAAAGCTGTCTAGGCACGTCTACCATTCTGATAACTGAAAGTTGCCATAGAAAGTTTTGCGCTTGTCTCTTATGAGTCTGAAGACGTATGAATGAGAAAATGATCCTAATCTTTCCTTTCATATATCCTCTACCATAACAACTTTTTCTCTGTAGTATGTAGGCAAAAAACACTTTCGTATTCCTGGCAGTGTCCTGTAAGAAATGGAAACATTAATGTTCTCCAGTATTTACAGAAGATCTGCTATTGTCTCAGGACCCAATATGTTGCACTCTGCTACTGCTACAGCAAGGTAGTGTATACCACTGTTCACACATATTCACAGAGTCAGGAAGCAAACTGAGCAACTGAAAATGTGCTAATCTTTATGAGTTAGAAGTCCATGTTTGGGTACCGTTTTTTCAAATCTGAAAGGTTAAATGCATTTTAGTAGGAAAAAAATGTCAGAAATAAAAAGCAGAAGGGCTGCCATATTAAAGAAGAAAAGTTAGGTTGAGAAAAAGAATGTTATAAGGAAGAGATCTTCATGGCACTGCAACATCATGAAAACTGAACTGGAAATAGTCAAATAATTAGTTCATAAGCAATCCACAGTCTTGTTAGATTAGACAATACTTACCATGAAAAAGATTGAGAGAAAATAACTGTAAAAAAAATAAAATTGTATTTCTCGCCAAAGGTTATTGATTTAAAACCTAAATTAGTATATATAAACAGGCTGATCAACACTCATCTCAAAGATGCACGGGCCTTAATCTACTGAAAATTACAGGAAGATTCACTTTTCTTTTTGTAGAATGAGAATCTGGCCTAAGAGGACCTCATGGTTTGCTAGCCCATTGTTCAAAACTCAGTATTTTAGCTCTGTAAAGGCTAAACATTTGGGCTTAGTTTCCACATATCAGACACAGTATATGCTTCTATGTGTGGAGTAAGAAGTTAAAATCCAAATGTTACCTTTATTTAATGCTGAACAATAAAGTTACAAAAAGAATAGCTAATGAACATAGAAGACAACTTGTCAAAATTAATCAAGTTTTTTATCGAAGTAGATCTCTCATTACCATTATTTTGAGTGATTTGGTGTTTCTGAAGGAATATACTGCAATACTTTGCAACACAATTGCAGGTGATGTTATCAGGATTCACGTAGTGAGATTTAATGGAACAGTACCTTTCTTTTAGCTTTGAGCTGCTCATGATATTTGTTGGATGTGTCGCCTGGTATTTCTCCTCCCCAGAGGGTAATTCCCACTATTGAGTAAGTGATGCCCATGACAAGCAGTGGAAAGCAGTAGACCAGCACAATCACAATGACATGATACCTGCAATGAAAAAGTATTAAGCTGATAAGTGTGTTCAGAGGAGCTACACCAATGGAATGGCCTGCTAGAAGTCAAGAGTGTTACTGTAGCACAGTGCATGTTTTATATCGACTGGCTAGTCCTTGGTGTTTTCACTGTGTTTTTGAAAGTCTTGAATTGCACTGCAAATTTATTTATATTTTAATGCCAGTGTGTTATGGGGTTTCTAGTTCTGATTCTGAACTTGCTAGCCTAAATTAAGAATGACTCTCTAGTTATCAAGATTAGTGACTGCAGAATAAGGTATGTTTGTCCATAACTAGCTGAATTGATTTAATGACTGCACAGCCAAATACCCTAAGGGCAATCTAGGTGTTTTGAGCTCTAGCCTGGACCATAAATGAAAGAGGAAAGTAAGTATTTAAATGGTATATTTATACAAAGGCCCTGATAAGTGTCCTGTGTTACCCAACACACTTCGTATGTCAGATCTGTTGCACATAGGCAACACAGATCTGTTGCCTGTGTGTAACATATAGTTGTCACTGCTGATGTAAACACTGGGGAAAAAAAAAAAAGATAACTTCTTTTGCCTCTGGTTAGTTCCTGGTTAAATGCCATCTTCAGATAAAACCCCAGTCAATGATCAGAAGAATCCCCAGCCATCACTGAAAATGACCTTACTGCCCTAAAGAGAAATAGCTGTGCATGGGTCCTAATGTGATAAAAATCATATATGCCCAGGGCCTCTTTCACCTGCCTGAAAGAGACCAAAAGACCAAATTTGAGGCTGGATGGTTACATAGGCTTTCAGCCTTTAGCACAGAGTTCATCTTAAATGCCAATGAAGACATGAAAGGGCAGATAATGTTTCTATGGCTAGGTGACTACTTATTCCTAATTCTGCCAGAGGGACAAATAGAATATATCCCATTTAATTGATTGGTATTCTACAGTGTCAGCAACTGGAACCAGTTATAGGTTTTACAGTTTTCTTATTTGGACTGATATCTGAGATAAGTAATTGTGATAGTGTAACAGACTGAAATGAGAAAATCCAACCCTCTCATTAAGAGATCCAGAGAAAAAATCTGATTAGGATAAGGAGAGGCTGGAAATACTTATTTTCCTGGTTAGGATGAAAAGGAAGCTTGCTTTGAATTGCATGTTCTGTCCCCATTTCTGACCATCTCTGTCTGTAGAGAAGTAGCCATCTTAAGTGAAGCAATGATGGTAAACATGCAGCATGGGATGGAGAACTCTCAGAAGTGGAAGAGAATAAACATGTTCCACTTATCACTTAAAATGCTCTATCTTCCTAGCTTGGATAATTTGCTTTACATTTCTCAGTGATCAATGCTGTTATTTTGCACGTAGAGTATCTGCATGATACTCTACAGCTTTTGCCAAGTCCATTGCAAGTGTAGACACCATCATGCACAAGTTTAAAAGAACAAAAGCTTACGTAAAATGTTGTTTTGGACCACCTGGCCATGCTACATAGCAAAGAGTTCTCCCAGGCATCACCTTGGTTATGGAGTATAGGCACTGGGGAAAGGCCAACAGGAAAGCCAAAATCCATATGCTCCCAATGACCACCTTGGTAGCAGTTGCCGAGAGCCTAGGTTTCAAGGGATCAATAATGGCCATGTATCTGTAAAAGAAAGCAAAAACTTGTGCGTAAGAAACCTTCAGAGATTAGGATGCATCTAGAATCAAACAAAGCTTAGGGTTGGGAGAACGATAAGAGATTTATCTTCCTGGATTTCTGATGGCATTGTGCTCTATGGGTGGGTTAGCCCCCATGAAGGCAGTGCTGGAAAAAAAAGAAGGTTCATTGAATATTATTTTAAAGCTGTGGGACACCCAGTTAACCATATGTATACCGGTAGAGCAACTATTTCTCAAAGAGTTAGTTAATCCTGTTACTGCACAACCTGATTGAAAAGCAACAATACAGCTGGATCCTCTGTTACTCTGCTATATAATACAGAGCTTATCTCTAATTAAAAAATTAACAGCCAAGCTGTCAGGATTATCAGTCATCTGTCCAAAAGCTACAGGAACCTGATAAGTCCACATGCATTTATTTCAGTAGACATAGACTGACTTTGAATTGTCTGCCAGAGAGCTCCAGGCTGCAGCTGGTTCATAGAGAGTGAGAGAGGAGCCATATGAGCGTTTCCTCAGGCAAGGTAGAAGTGATAAAAGCACCAAGAGAAATAGATGCATAAAGCATGAAAACATTTCATTGGCTTTGTTCTGTGTTCTCAGATAGGATAGCATTCTTCTTGCTGCCCTATAATTGTATTGACAATCCATGTATGCTGATAACTTTAGAACGACATGCAAAAAATAATTAAAAAGTTTACTCTAAGTGATTACAATGTAAAAGCTTGGGAAACAAGAGCAATGGGAAGGCATCAGGACAGACTGTAAAAGAAAAACAAATCTTGATTTCTGTCTTTTGTTCTCTGTTATAGAGGCAAGGAACAAGGGAGACAGAAACTTTGTATTTTATATACTCCATATCACATACTTCATGTGTTTTTCACATTTTTCTTAGTATGACTACTGCTTTGATTTCTGAGATAAACCCTGAATTAACACATTTTCCACCAACTTCCCTGATAGCACTATTTTGTTTCATTTAACAATGACCAAAGAATGACTTGCAAAATCATTAATCATATTAATTAAATAGGAACAGTCTTCAAAATTTCTTCCACTATTAGGGGAAATGCTGATAAGTATCAGCCAGAATCACATTTAATGAAATTTTTGTACTTCTGTAAATCCAGGGAGATACTGGCCATATGTATGTCCATATTGTATTACCATTATAGCATACTGAATAACTAACTACATGTTCTTTAATCTGACATCCTAATGTTTTCCAAAACAACACAAGGAAATGTTTTTTTACATTAATATTTTGCTTCAGATCCAGAGGGTTCCCAAAGTACATTAAAAAATCCTTTTATTCATGATGGAAACACAATGCTGTTTATGAGTTACTGTAGGAGTTAATGGATAAGCAATTTAAATCAAGAAATTTCCATGGAAGTAGTCAGTGTATCTGTGCTTATTCAAGAAACCAAAGATCTGCCCTTCTGCAGTCATTGGTAGCACTGACATTCTACACTGTGTTTCCCAAACCATTGCTTTGCTGAAATCAGAATTAGAATAGCAATGATTTAGAAGCTCCTCAGGAATAACCAGGGCAAGTCAAAAGGAAACTAACAAAATTAAAATATTTTTTTCTGTGTTTCCTTGTGGGTTTTTTTATTTTCATATTGTATGAAAATACCTGAAGCAGATGGGAAACTGGGATGAAGATGAAAACCACCTTGACTGTTTTACTAATGAGAGTTTTCCAAATTTTTGGGAGAATGTCTGGATCAGTTTCAACAGTATATCATCAGTCATAGGTACTAGTACTAATTCTGGAACAAGCAAACTCATTGCCAAAGAATAGTTATGGCCCACATACTTTCACTCTCTTTCACAGTACACTTGTCCAGTTATCTGATCACCTTTGGCAAGTTTATTGGAGTATATCAGTGATTTCCTAAAGGTCCTCTGTGTTTCCATTGTAGGTCTCCAGTCTTCGTGCCTGGTAACTGCCCTCGTCCCTGTCTCTTTCAGCTTTTAAATACAATGAGAAAGTCAAACCACACCTATTCCAGCCTACATATGTAGAAAAAATATTTTCAGAACTTTCCAGTATTGCTTCCCTCCTTGTGTCATTTATACCTTCTAAAGGAATTGCAATAAATAAAAGATGTGCTACGGCTCTTCATCTACTCTTTCTCTACATTTCTACTTCATACAAAGATGGATTGGGATACACTCAGAGACTATTTTCTGTATGGAAAATTACATAGGCAGTAATAGGCATTGTATGGCAGGGCTGTGGAAAAAAAAAATCACTTTGTCTTATCAGTATTTGTAGATTTTGTGTTATTGTTGAAACTTTAGGTGTTGCTATCAGGCTTAGAAGTTATAAAATCAGTTTACTTTCCACTCACAGAAAATGAATTATTTTGTAGGTAAGCAAGCATAAATTAGTAGCTCCTATTCCAAAGTGACACTAATAGGCAATTATTGTTATTTTTCTTCTCTATGTTTGTCCTTTCAACATTCATAAATAAAAAGATTTCAAAGCTATTCATCATGTTTACTTTTTGTGTTTTCATCTTCTGCTTTGGCTTTAGATCATGAGAACCCTTCTTATACTGTTAGGTGACTGCTTGGGTCTGTGCTTCCAAATCCAGGCAGGATTTGAATTGAAATCCATTGAAATCAATGGATAAGACGCCATTGATTTGAATCAACCCTTTTTTGAGGAATAAGTTCTGTTCTGCTGCACTTAGAAGAGTAGGACTCATTTACAATGAAGGAAGGTGTGACGTATCCTAATTGTTACAGTATACACCTAGATTCTAGGCAGACTTGTCCGAGATTTTTAGGTACAAATATTAGCTACAAGACAATAATAATAATATTCATAATATAATGCTCCTGATAAGAATTTGTGCAAGTAGTCTTCTGCATCCATATTTACCTGCTATCACAAACAAATTTAATTCAAGATATTCCTGCATTTTCAAAATTTCATACATGAGAGATGGGTAAATACAGAATAGATTTTCTTTTTTTCTTTTTTCTTTTTTTTTTTTTTAGCAAAAATAACTCTGTTTATAGATAACCATCAAATATGTGATAAATCTAACATCTGCCATCATAGTGGTACTCAGCCTCTAGCAGACATGATAACTGTGCTAATACCTTAAAATATCTAAACGCTGTCAGAAAGAGTGATCTCAACTAACTTCAGTTCTGAATCATCAATTTCCATATCTAGAATTTCAAGCCTATTCATTTTGCATTGTTTTTACCGCACTTAGATATTTTTCCCCACAAGGCAATTAGTTCCCCTCTACTTCACCTGCTTCTTTTTTTTTTTTTTTTTTTTTTTAAGCTAAACTGGTGCTTTTGGCATTACATACTAACTATGAAATAGTTTTATTTTAGTGCTGGGTGTCATGTCCTGAGAGAGCAGCAGATCTCATGAAAATATACATCAGTTGGATTGTTGCCCTCTATCCCCTAGTTCCATTCTCCTCCAAAGAGTAAATGCAACTTGGTAATGAAGATAAGTTTGTAGTCATGAATCCTGTCTTTCATATTGAGCTAGCTTGAGCATGGGGTGCCAGATACTGTCCAAAATGCTTGATGATCTTTACCTGTAGTAGATGATAACCGATAAACAAGTCATCATTTTCACATGCATGTGGGACTCTTAAGGCATCTTCTCCTCGCCTGGAATAATTCCTTTCAATTCCTAGTTTTCTTCAGATTACACATTGACGTTATTTTATGTGCTACTGTCAGATTTCTATTATGTTCACATTATTCTTATTCCCTGTTATATTATTCTTATTCCCAACAGGTACCAGCAGTAATTCTCTTCGGCTAAGATAAAATTCTATTGTTGTATCTCCCCGTCTGGTGACTGCCCTTTAAAGATATGGATTGTTTGTGTGAAATGACTCATATAGCTGTGCTGATGGAAATTTTAACTATTGACTGCCTGAGTGAGGTAAGTCAAAGGACAAAGATCAGATGAAAAGCAGACTCCTTGTCTTTCTTGCTGAGATTTGAGTGATAAGCCAACAGCCTAGCTTTTGCACAAGATTACAAAAACGTAGCAGGCAGTCATTCTAACAAACAAGATGGGGAAGAGGTGGAGGAACCTTGCCCATTCTCTCAATAATGCCTTTGTACAGGATGGACTTAGCTGACCAGAGAGTATTGACAGCTCTCTACTACTGAGCCTTTGATAACAAATCTAATTTATTCTAATTTGCCGGTGCACTAGCAATTATAATGAAGTATCTACCTTGTTCCCCAAGTGGCTTTTCTTAGAAACAAAATCGCTTAATTAAAATAGTGAGATACTGCTTTATAGCTGCAATTGTTACACTCAGTCAAATTTGTCACATAAGTTTGGTAGTATTTTCCTAGCCGTCATTGCCTTCATTAAAGCTAGTGGAAAATATGGAATGACTCTCAGTTGCAGGTTTAAAACCACCTCAGTAGTTGAGCTGTCCCTGGATGCTAATCTCTGTAGCCAAAAGAAGCCCAGAAGAGAACTGAGTCTTTCCTGCACTGCTAGCTGTCATTTGCAAAGTGCTTAGCCACTCCTGCCTATCATTTTGTTTGCTGGAAACGCTGTCTTGCCATTACTGGTACCTAAGGCTGGTAAGTTGTTTGTCTATCTCTTTAGCTTCAACCTGAAAGAGCAGTAGCTATTTTTTCAGTTGGCCCTTGCCTTTGATCTCTGTCCATTTTGGCCAGGGAGCTTCTATCAGGAATGAAAGCTCCTTCTGGCACAGGCTGGAGGTTCCGTGCTTAGGTGTTGCTCAGAAACTTAGTGAGGTGAGGAGGCTAAGTATGGGATAATGATGGGTATGATGCAGGATATTGCCCCTGTATATTCCAATTACCTATGACTGACAACTGTCTTTCATGGTGTAGCTCTGTCATTAGGACTCATTTCCTTACTCTGTTTGATATCCTTACATAAATTTTGTATGGCAAAGTGCCAGTTACAAGGGGGAGCAGCAGACATGCTGTCTGAATTGTGCA